ACCTGTTTTCAGAGGTAAGATTAGTGGAAAAAATGGCCGCCAAAGATTTGTTATTTCCTTAGCTTAAAAATCCGTGGTAACTGAAAATTTACATTTCTTGTACCTTTAATCAACGTTTTTCAGAAAAATCCACACAGAAATGCGTTCTTTAATGGGCATGAAAGGTATTGAGCCAAACATCACAAACCGGCGGAAAAATGGAAGTTTCTTCACTTTGATTTTTTGACGAGAGCCTGATTCCACCTCGCTGACTCACAAATGCTAGTTATTATTTATTATGTATGCATGCATCTATCTATCTATCTATCTATCTATCTATCTATCTATCTATCTATCTATCTATCTATTTATCTATCTATCTATCTATCTATCTATCTACCTATCTAACACTTTCTCGTTCTCTTTTTATATGTACTGCTTTCACGATGTTTCACTGATTTTCTTTGCGTTTCTGTCTACCGTTCTGCTCTTTTTCCTTTCTCCCCTGTACCCTTAGCTCTCCACCTGTCAGACTGTCTTCCAGTGTGTTTGCCAGATTTTGCCTGTCTGTCTTTCTATCTGTCTGTCCGTCGCATGTATGTCTGCCTGTCTCTGCCTCGCTGCCCCCCCCCTCTCTCTCTCTCTCTCTCTCTCTCTCTCTCTCTCTCTCTCTCTTTCTCTCTCTCTCTTTCTCTCTCTCTCTCTTTCTCTCTCTGTCTCTCTCTCTCTCTCTCTCTCTCTCTCTCTCTCTCTCTCTCTCTCTCTCCCCCCGCTCTCTCTCTATATAGTAATTTGTCTCTCTCTCTCTCATTTCATCTTTCCATCTCTCCAGAACCGTGCGATGTGTACTCCGGGAAAACCCAAGACCCAAGTCGATGTGACACGTTTCTACTGTGCTCTAGAGGCCTAGTGGTGAGCTCTACCAAGTGTCAGGAAGGGTTCTTGTTCGATAACTCCACCAAAGTGTGCAGGCCACGAGACCAGGTACAGTGTGACATCGGTTCTTCCAGGACAAATGGCTCCACAGTTGGGGGTAAGTGAAACATATAGATAGATAGATAGGATAGATAGATAGATAGATAGATAGATAGATAGATAGATAGATAGATAGATAGATGTGGCTTGTTTCTGTACACTCTGTCTATCAAAAAAACCCAAAAGTAAGAATCGCAAGTGCTCAAGTTTGGGGGAATATAAAATATATATGGCTCTTTTCGTCTATGCAGACGGTCAATTTAGCTTAAGATGGTCTCGAGGTTATCTTCATGCAGCTTCTTTCATGGCTAATTCTTCCTATGTTTGAAGGGCAGATTCTGTCGCAGTGCTTGCATTTCAGTGTCATAGATCGAAGCTCTGTATTTCCGCTGTTTTCCTTTCGTCGTTGGCGCTTCTCAGCCTGGTTGTTTCTAAGGCTGTTCTCTAGCATTATAGGTCTTTCCTTTATCATTTTCTCCATGTTTTCCTGTTCTCAGCTAATTCTTCGCAGATGCTAACATCTACTCCAAGCTTAGATAAGCTGTTTTTGCAGGTGTCTTTGTACCTCAATTTTGGTCTTCCTCTTGGTCTCTTCCCCTGGGCAAGTTCTTCATAGAGAAGTTGCTTCGGAATCCGGTTGTCCATTCTCTTGACATGGCCCAGCCATCTCATTTTTTTAAAACACAGGGTAGCTGTCATGCTCTGGGGGTTTGCCCCTGCCAACACTTCAACATTTGTAACCTTGTCTCAAGTTTGGGGGAATATGGTGACCAATCATTTGTAAACCTACGGCTTATAAGGCATTCCCCAAACCTTTCTGGCACCATACAACTGTCACACAAAACATTTGGGGTGTAGCTCCTTCCCACGGGAACCAGACCTCTACAGCATAACGACTTCTCCTCCTCAGATAGATAGAGAACACATTTCTCGCGGGTGTCTACACCAATACAAACAGTTAATTTTAAAATGCAAAGTGCTGCACATTCTGTAGTCGTTGTTGTTTCTACTAAACACAAAAGCGCTAGCTGATAGACATGGGCAGGGTAAAAACTTTCACAGCCCGTTGAGATATCCATCTGATGTAACTGTCGTGGCTTAGGGTATTTTTCCTGGAACCAAAACGGGTTGAACACATCCCAGTAGCTGAACGCTTTTATAAAATGAAATTCTGCTTTTGACCCAATTTTGGTTGAAATTCTAAAAACTTAACATTTTTCAAAGGTGCAGATGGATTTTAGTCATATTTGCAAACTTGATATCCACTAGGTTGAAATTTACTTGTTCGAAAATTTGATAAGAGCTCTGATGTCCAAGTTATTGTTCTGTAAGTGAGTTCTCATTGTATAAGACACCATGTACTATAACAAATGTGATATTATTGGTTCCGAACCCAATTCCTATACTTTGTGTTAAGATACCTTTAATATATGTAATTTGTTCTTAAATTGCCACTTTTGAAAATGAACGAAAATGATGAAAATGGAAAGTTTTTGAACTCTCTTTCTTTCTCTCTTTCTCTCTCTCTCTCTCAACCCCCCCCCTT